TTCAAAACCAGCATGTCCCAAATTTGGATGTCCTTGCATCATAATTCCTTTTGGAGCTAAGCCACAAGTTGAATATTCCAGCTTTACCATTTTCATTCTTACATTTGTATAGATTAAAGTGACTTCTACTTCGACAATGCATTCCTCAAGAAATTAGAAAATTCTATTGTGTCCTGTGTGAATCTTGCCTTTAGTATCACTTCAAGTATAGTCTCTGAAGGTATTTCAACTAAGTAGTCATTAATAAAATATTGATTGATAACACTGTGTTCCAGAAAAGTCTCAAAAAATTTTTTAAAAACACTAAAGATACGATAGAAATAGACAACTGCAAATAACAATATGTGACCCAAGATAACATATACATCTCTAAAAATACAAGAGAGAAATGCAGATGACTAGCTACTGAGAATGTATTCCATCCATGCAAACTACCAGAATCTGATTTCAGCCATCAGTGTCAGTCAACTCACCTGACACTCCAACCCTAGGACTACCAACAATCTTTTCAGGCCTCCAAGTACATCAGGCTCACATGCAAGAACACACACAAAGATATAGGTATACACATAATCAATTCTAAAAATATTTATAAATAAAATTGCCAGAGACTAGAGAGATTGCTTGATGGTTAAGATATTCATGGCCCTTAAAGAAGATCTGGGTTTAGTTCCTACACCCATGTTGTGACTCACAGCAGCCTGTAACTGCAGTCCAGGGATGCTGATGCCCACTTCTGGCCTCCTCGGACAATGAGTATGTTCACAAGGCAAATGCGTACAAGCAGGCATTTACATACATGTAAAATAAATCTTTAATAAAAACACATAAAGAAGTGGCCTACTTTGAGAGTTTGGGTGATCATTTATCATTACTTGAGCAAACTTAATTCAACAGAATCATGAAAAAACCCATGATCAAATGAGATTTCTTTTTGGTAGTCTAGGACTAAATGTAAACATATGTAAGTCAGTAATCATAATAGACAACATTATTAGAATGCAAACAGAAACCTCACTAGATGTTTCAAAATGTATCTTTTGTGATACATTTTGAACAACCTGCCTGAGTAAATGGATCTTCAGATTCAATTCAGTTGTTTCTAAAATTCCAGTGTCATGTCTCACAGATGTATGGAAAAAGAAAAAAGAACTAGAATTTTTATAGAAACATTTAAAACTCTATAAGGGTAAAAGCTAGAAGATAGTACTGCTAGGTTTCAACTTATCCTACAAAGGCAAAAAGCATTAAAACAACATGGTATCAGATAAAAATAGACATTACAGCCAAAGGATTTAACACATTTACAGTCAGTTAATCTTTGAAAAAAGTTCCAAGAGTACATAATAAGAAATAATCTTTTTAATAAATGTTATGAGAAAAACTGGATATACAACAAAAGTGTATTGACCCTTCTGTTACACCAGCTCAAAATTGATCAAGACTTTAAACATAGGATCAGAAAGTATAAACCTGCTAAGGAAATATAGTCTAAACTGCATTGATTTAGACAGTCTTTTTTTTCCTTTCATTTTCTTTTCTTTAAATTTAACTCCACAAATATAGAAAGCAAAAGTATTGCATTATTTATCAAGGGAAGCAGTTAATAATAAAGGCATAGATATGAACTTGAAGAAAATACTTATAAGCCATGTAAGTGACATAGGATTAATCCAAAATATATAGAGATTCAAATGAAAACCACAAATAGTTTCCACTGATCATGCCCTTAAATGGCTGTTAGGAAGACAAAAGAAAGGCTAAAAGAATGTGGGAAGTGGGAGCCTTATTTAGTATTGTTGGGAAAGTAAATTAGTATAATCGGCACTGAAATAGTAGTAACATCCTCAAGAGACTGAAAGCAGAGCTAACAGAAATTCTCATACTCCCACTTTTTGTTATTCCCCTGACATCTTGTCATCAGTGTGTGGAGATCTCTACATCTTCAAACTGTGCCGTGGAAAATAACAAGCCAGAACTATGGGTACATGCCTGAAATGCCAGAGCTAGAGAGCCTGGGGCAAGAGGATCTTGAGTTCTAGGCCAGATTGGTCAACACAGTAGGATTCTGCCTAAAATAAACAGCCAACTTTGCAGGTCAGTAAATGAGCATCCTGGAGTGGATGGATAAAGGGAATTTGGTATGCAATGCTATTCAACCTGTAAAGAGGAAGTGGTCCTATCGTTGGTAATAACAAAATTAGAGAGCACTAAGTAAAATATACAAAATATAAATACTGTATATTCTCATATGTAAATCTAAAGCTAATTGACTCATACAAATAGATAGAAGAATAGTCCTTACCAAACATCAAGAATCAAAGGAATCGATGAAATTAAATGTTATGATGGTTTAAGCAAGAGAAATAAATTTGATTTTTAGGTCAATTATGCACCATGAGATCTATGGCTGATAAATGAATTCTGCATATTGCAGTGTGCCTGAAACTAAATTTCTAATGTTTCCATCATAAAAAAATGTTAAATATCTGAAGGGATAGGTGTGCAAATAAATTAATCTTTATAGATCCCATTTAAAAATCATATTATGACCATGTGTCTTATAGCTATCATTGTCAATATATACTTGAAAAAAATATTAGCTGACACCAATGCCATCTGAACAATATTATCGAAATTGTGAACAATTGGGCCATCACCAGACTATTGTCACTTTTCCTTGTGTCCCTTGAATGACACAAATAATCTCATTTTCATATCTTTCAGTGCCTCCAAGAGTCCTGATGTAGACACTTGGTACACAAATGCTGTGTGATCCAAAGGGATTCGCATGCACTTCGCTATCCTGCCTGTCATGATTAAGCTACAGCCATGATTGTTGTCACAGGGGCCATTTCTCCTTGCCATTATTCTTCCTTCTATAGCTTTAGCACACTAAGTTACAGGGTTTGGTTTTCTTTTTGGCTAATCTACTCTACCCTCTCCTCTTTACATGCCTCCTAAATTCACTGCAAGATTCAACCTAGTAAAAGGCATAGAACAGATGTCTCATAGCTGGCAAATAAAATGATGATTATATGGATGATAATAAGTGTCTCTACTTAATAACACTGGGATTTTTCAAAGGACTCATTATTAGAAAAGATATTAAAGGTATAACTGGGGCTTTAAAGATTTCTATTTATTATTTATTTACTACATGTATACGAGAACAGCAGAAGTCAGAAGAGGGCATTGGATCCCCTGGAGTTGGAATTATAAGTAGTGTGTGTGTGTGCGTGTGTGTGTGTGTGTGTGTGTGTGTGTGTGTATGCTTGTGTGTCTGTGTGCTCACATGCACTCATCCATTGTTTGTGTCTCTGCACATGTACACGTGGTGTTATCTGTCATGTATCTGAAGGTGTCCACATAAAATGTAAGATTTTACTTGCTTTTGACTAATTTAAAAATTTTGAAGCTTTCAATATAAATATCCAACTGTGGAAGGAATCCTCAAAAATTCACTTTTTTAACATTTATAAACAATACTTTTTTAAAAAGTACTAAGCCAGGGCTAGAGAGATGGCTAGGTGCTCAGGTTTGATAGTACTCACCTAAGAAGAAGACTTCAGCTTGGTTTCCCAGCACACATGAGTATAGACCTATCCACCTACAGCCTCAGCAGTGGTCATGGGGAAAGTGGATGGCAAGGGCTTCTTGGCCAGTCAGCCAGCCTCGGTCAAAAATGATAAACTTCAGGTTCAGTAAGACTTTGTCTCAGGGGACACATAGAAAGCCAGAGAGGAAGGCATCCACCATTCTCCTCTGGCCTCTTCATGTGCACATACAGGTGTGTGTACTACCACTCCATGTGCCCACACAAGCACACTCACCAAAAATATTGCTGAACAGTACCTTGACATTTATGTAGCATAACTATCAACATATATCTGACTTTGTCTTGACATTGGGGTTTTGTGACTAATTGAATGCCCTAATTAATTTCTCTGGTTTGAGTGTTTATTTTTTTACTCTTTATCTGCTTTTTACTCCAGAGTGGAACTTAATCAAGCAATCATAAATTGTGTAATCTATATTTGTTGCACTAGCATGAACAAAATATCTAGCAGCAGACCAGTTAAATATGTGATGACAGACGATCTTAATGAGATATTACTTTGCCACTTAAAATCATTAATTTTAAAAGTACCTAGATATGGGGAAAGGACTAAAGTAAAGTGTGAACTGGAACAACTTCAGAACACAATTGTGGAAACAGAACGTAACCATGGTTATATGGATTAAAGAGAATATGTAAATAAGAAATGTTTGGAGATGATAAGTGAATTTTGAGGGATCTTTCAGTATGCCTTATTTTTGGAAGACAAATGCATTTTGGATGTCAATTACTGTAATCTAAAAAAATATGAAAAGTTTTATCAGAAAGTCTACTGCTCAAACTTTCATGTTGAAAAAGTAACACATGGCTTGTCTGTTGCCACTGCAAATGAACTTTGTTCAACACTGGAAGTCTCTCATGTGTCCTGGCTCTAGAAGGGGGCCCTGCCTTCTGACGTCCAAGTATGTTACATTGGAACCCATTTGTCTGATGAATAATCCATAAAGCAACAGAAGTTGAACCAACAGTACAACGCCACACTAATTTATCTGTTCTATCATGTCTTGATTTTTATATAACTACTTTCAGTTTCTTACGTGAATGTACATTTTCATAGCTGATATTCTAAAAATCCTTCAAATGTCTCATGTGCTTTATTTTCAAGATTTCTTTTCTTATTAATTGATAATGGTTACTTTAACTGCTGTGTAAAGGAATCATTTTTAAGTAAAAATTACACCACTCCTTGAGTTATTGCAAAGCAAAGACAGGAGAGTTCCTCTGACCTTGCTGTGTCTGCTGACAGCAAGCTTTATGGCTTTGTACGTAAGACTGCTATCACCAAATTTCCATTTGAGTAGTAACATGATAACACAAAGAGCCAAGGGACTAGGTTTTAGATGACAGCACATCATTTAATATCCACTTATTGTTTCTACAGGGAAATTCAGGTCTGGGATTCAGTATTGCTGGAGGGACAGATAATCCCCACATTGGAGATGACCCTGGCATATTTATTACGAAGATTATTCCAGGAGGTGCTGCAGCAGAGGATGGCAGACTCAGGTAAAGATCAAAAGCATTAAAATTACTCAAGTAGTTGATCCACTGCATCAGGTAGTCACATTTGTACCTTTGGAGAACGATAATTCTATACAATTTCTGGACTTGGAAGGTTATCAAAGCTTTCTATAGTGATGCTACAAATCTCTCCATACTTGCTGAATTTCAAGTCGTATCTAATTTGTGCATGTTGACAAATATGACATTGGGCCAGACACTGTGAGGAGGGGTTATAAATATATCTTTGATTCTCATGGGGTCCTATGTCTACTTGGAAAGAATAATAACAATAATATGAATTAAGTCAACAATAGAGTATCTAGAATCAACACTGTACATTAGGAACTCAGAGACTGTTATAATCATTAATATAGAAGCTTTCACAGGGTTTTCTATAGCTATTTATAGAGAATCAGAGAAACAGCCTCATTGGAAGTTGTAGATCTTAAAACATAGTTGGATAATGCATAAAACTAAACTGAGACATGGAGAAAGAGCAAATTGTCTGGGAAACTAGAATGAATGTTGCTTTGTTTGGAAAAACACTGTGTGCTGAGTTAAATGGGTGGAGCAGAACCAAGATAGCACCTAGGGACAAAGCAGAAGCAGTTGGAGCCTGGTCCTGCTCTTTTAGAACCTAGAAATGAGTTGTAGAAATAAAAATCACTCACATAGAGCAAATAATAAGTAATATACAATACAACCAGGAATTAAGAACAACCTCTAAAAGGCACAAAACTTAAAGTCTCAGAAACTTACAGAAGCCATCCAATATACATAATATATAACAAATTTATAATATATAATAAATAACATATATATGTAATAATATATAATAAATAATATATATTACAAATAACCATACCTGGTTATAGATCCATATAGGTCAAGAAGATGCAACTGTATGAATAAATCCTTTTTTCTTTTTAAGCAAAATGTCCCAATATAGGCAAGGATGCCCTCACATGAGGTACTATTGTTTCAACCTGTCAAATCCTGGGGCTACAATTACATGCCACTCTACCTGGTTATATCTTTATATTACCTATGATGAAGATATAAACAGCTCAATAAATGCATGCTAATGTATATCTGTGATGCTAATAAATAGAAGAAAAAGGTAAAATTGACATTGGAGATAGGGATGATGTTAAACGAGGTAACTTATGGGGATTGTTGAAGGTTATAAGGAAGATTCTTCAAGAAGGGTTGCTAGGTTTCAGATTTTACAGTAGGGAGAAGAAAGGGGACACATTCCTGTATACAACAGTAACAACTGGGACCCTATAGCTGAGAATTGATGAGATGTAAAGAGATTAAATCATAACTAAGAAAAAATATCAGCACTGAGACACATTCTAGCTAAAGGGACTTGGCAAAGTCCTGGCTGAAGGAAGGCCAGAGTGATAAGATATTAAAGGGCAGAATGTAAGGTAATTGACCAAATATCAAGAGTGACAGAATTCTGCCAAATCAATTCAGTACAGTTCTTGCTGAGACTGGACTGAGTGGGCCAAAGCCAAAGCTCATGGTCAAGGCCTCCAAGAAGTGAACTAATAGGAACCTTTCTCTGGTTTGTGAAAGAAGTCTGTCTACCAGAGAGTTAAAGCAGGTCCTGTAGGTCAAGGCAGCATTGGTCAGCATGGTATCACATTGGGAAATGTGACTTGAGGAACAGGAATACAAACCCGAGACCCTTGCTCAGTGTGTTTTCATTTCACATGAGTAACCTAGTCTTCTGTGTGTCTTCTGAAATAGACAAGGTACCCATTCTCTATCAGACTGTTCTGATACAGTGACTATATTAGACAGCTGCATCTTTGCGGTTTGTTGAGAAGAGCTGTTTTTTTCAGATTCATTTGCATATGATTTCAGTCAAAAAAGATTTCTGAACATCCTTCCAGGGAATGCATGCTTTGTGACAATCAAATTTCCAAGTTTAACTGAGTGATTTTCAGAGAAGAAATATCCATGTTGAGCAGTGGGAGATTCAAAGCACATGTGTAATTGTAGTTCTCTAAGTCAAGGAGAGATTATGTTTGCTAGTGTTGAATCCTAGGCAAGCTCCAGTATATGTGTTTAGACCTAAGCTAAGTGTGCTAACTTATATTATAGGATCATGATGCCTATAATCCTAGCATTTGAAATAGTGAGGCAGGAGGATTATCATGAATTTGGATCCATCCTCAGCTAAGATGTGATTTCTGAGCCAACCTAGGCTACAAACCGGGACTCTGCCTCAAAGAGGGGAGTGGAGCAGGCAAAAAAACAAATCAGATTGGCTATATGAATAATAATTTAGAAACTTTTGGGCCTTGATCATCATCCTCAACTATTTGCTATCTGGAAAAGAAGAATCTTTCACCTTCCTAGTAAATTCTTGCACTGAGTTTGAGGTACAATAGTTCTTATGTTATGTGCTTGCTCTGAGATTAGAAATAAAAATAATTGTTTTCTAGAAAAAAAAAAGAAATAAAAATAATAATATTTCTGAGAGTACCACCTTTTGTTGCCTACAGATCATGAGTGGAAATCTTATTTCTTTAGAAATAGGAAGTTTCTTTTCTTGGGAACTTAATTCTACAGTTGCACATAATCCCAAAGGCAACGTTTGTAGAACCTTCATTGTACATGGAGTGTTCTTATTCACATGCTGCTGCACAACTTCCTTCATTCTACCTCTGTTTCTTAGCCCTTGTTCTGGCTTCCTAGGCTATGTGTGAGTATCGCCCCTCATGGTTGTGCACTGAAAAACCTGAAAAATTCTGTCCTATGCATCTCCCTGAAACAATACGATATATCTACTCCCTAATCTAAAGTACATCCTTTGTATGAAGAAAATCCTTGTGTCTCTCCTCTATTTTGGTAGAGCCTTAAAATATTACTGACGTTACATCCTCTCATGTTCTTGACTGATGTAGAAACATCTGGAATTCAAATATAACTATCAGTTGAAAATCTGGCTTGTGATTTAATTATAGATTATTAAAATTGTGGAGGTAATCATGCCCAAGAACAACATTTTATAGAGGGGAAACTAAGGCCAGGAAGAATGATACCCTAAAAGATAAAGCATTTGGCATGAAACATCAAAGTGTCTTGATTCAAATAATGAGCTGCCTGAAGTATTATCAAGAGGTAATAATACACAGGCCCAAACTAACCCCATACAAGCATTTTCTCAGTATGACAGGAGCAGCATATAAAGCTGAAGTGACAAGATCCAATGGCGACTTTCGACTGAACACTTGTTCCAAGGACATAGAGAAAAGTGTCCTGTCCAGACTCTCAAAATCCATGGGTTATAACACTTATTACTAACAGACTTGACCTTGGAGGAATGAAACTCCCCTCACAGGTGTTCCTCATCTGTCAGATGGTCAGAGTACCATCACTTAGTGACCTAAGTCACTAAGGTGTTCTGAAGATACACTGAGATTACCAAAAGTCCAAAGCACATAATAAATACATAAGAAATTCTAAAAACACTCCCCTTTCTACTTATCTGCCTGTCTCCATGGTCTTAGCCTCCTTATGCTCTGTGTCCTTTCTAAGCTTCTTGTTCCTATCTTTTCAAGTCCCCCCTTTTCTTGGTTATACTATGGCATGATATTAAAGGTAACTTTAAAAATGAAAATGATATCAAATTAAGCTGCTAAATGTCTAGGCAGTAATGGACTAGGAATATGTGAATGTGTATGTGTCTGTGTGTTTGTGTCTGTGTGTGTGTTTGTCTTCATGTGTCTAGAAATCTTAAAAAACATGAGAAGCTTTCTTGTGCATGCTAAGCTATATCCAACACAACTTGTTTATGAAGCCTTATAGCACAGGTAAAGTGAGAAATGGACTTCTCCCCACATAAACTAGACTCCAAGCTGAGGTCCAGTCTCATTCATTCCCCCGGAAAATACTTCAATATTTAGAGTAAGAAGACCTGGGTTTCATGGTCTACTTGCTGGCCATGTGGCCTTGGGCCATTTTGAAGCCTTTTGTTTTCTAGTTGTCTTACTAGTACATTTGACATATGGCCATGTAGCTCAAGAAGCATATGCAGACAATTACCTGAAAAGGTAGATCTATAAATTGTGAGCCCCAAATGTAATTCAGTTACCTGGAGACCCATCAACTCATCAGAATGCTGAAATTGAGCACCAAGTCTTCAGAAGCTAAGAATAAACTCAATGCTAGGAATAAGGGTCCTATGATGACCCCTAGTTAGGTCATATTATGAAGGTCTTATTATAACCTCCCAATAGACAGAGCCATGTGGAAAGCTCTTGCTTAAATCAATAATGATAGACATTTCTCAAAATGTTGTCATTATTCCCCATGCTCACACATACACATAGCAAGCCGTGGTAGACTTCTGTTTCGTTGGCACTTATTTAACTGGCAGTAAGGTGGTACTTTGAAGAACTTACTAGCCATCAGTACTTTGCCTTTAAAAGTAGTTATTAAGATTTGATAGCATCCCTTGGCTTTAAAGACTAGCCTGTGATGGAAAGAGCACTAGTTTTTTACTTCCAGAAAAATAGATATATTTCCATCTTCTAAAGACTATGTTTTAATTCTGTCTTTGTATCTGAATCATAAAATGCCCTCAGTGTAGTCTGAAGTCCCTAGGTTCCCAATGACCAATTTTGACATGTCTTCCTGGGGAAGAGCTATCACATGACATCCTTTGCTTGGTCATGCAGCAATGACATTTTACACAACGATGCATTTATTAAACCTGTCTACAGCATAAAAGCAGAGTGCAGAAGAGGACTGCTTGCCAGCTCCTGACAAGTGACACAATTTAATCCCCTAGCTCTAGACACAATCATTTCTATTTCTTGACAGAATGAAAAAAAGGTGTTATTTTCTTTAGGTCTATTGCTTCATTTATTACCTCTATTTCTGTTTACAGGTAATGGTGCTTATAAAATCAAAGGCAATGTGTATGTTCAAACAGTAATGTTAATTATGCTGAAATCTCACCCTTTGGACATTGACTAGAATCC